AGAGGTCCTTTTTTAAAGCAACAGAAAGAGGGGCAATGTCATTGGTAAAGATTAGATCTAAAATGTGATTATCTCTTGTTGGAGAGCGCACCAGTTGGGACCAATTAGAAAAATTGACACTTTCTTGAAAGGGCTGGAATCTGGGTGGACAGCTATTCAAAACCCAGTCTATTTCAGGAAGGTTGAAATCCCCAGTGATTATTTGAACATCGAAAGCAGCTTCCGAAACTACTTTAACGATTTCACAGAATTGTGAATCATCACTGGCTAAAGAATTTGGGGGATTGTAGATACAGCCAATAATTGCCTTTCTTTGCGGCGAGAGAATAACAGATGCAAAGCAGAAGTTTCCCGTGAATGATGAAACATCCAAGTAATAGGGAGAGTACTTTAGGTAGAATTTAAGATAAAGAAGACAACCACCCCCACGCCTAGTCGTGCGGTCTTGGCGGTAAAAATCGAAGTCATCTATGAGAAGGGCAGAGTGAGAAATTAGATAATGGGTCCAAGATTCTGTTACACACATAATATCAGGCGTCATTTCCGGAGCAATGGCTCTGATTTGGTCCATCTTGTTTATAACAGACCTGGCATTCAATAATATAATATCTAATGTGTTTCGAACGGCAATGCTATTTTCGACGGTATTTAAAAAAATTTGGAGCGGATATGTAAGCTGCGAATTAATGACACTTGGAGAATAAGTACCAGTTAATCTGGAGTTATTGACGTACGGGGAGTCAGCAAGAGAAGGCTGAGTATGAGACCTAAAGGAGGTGGGGATATAGCTTTCAAACATTGGAATGCTAGGGGAGTTAGAACATGGATAGACTTGTTGGTAGTTAAATAGTGGAGGAAGGGGAGGAGGAGGGAGGCTGGAAGGAAAGTAGGGGCTAGTGGGTGAGGGTAGGCCGCTATAAGAATGAATGTGTGGGACACCAGGTCTAGGTTGGAAGTCAAAGGAGATAGGTTGACGTACCTGAGAGCAATTGGCCTTCAGTTTTGGGAAGCCTGAACTAGGTTGGGGCTTAAATGATTCAGGGCAATTCATGTATGGATTATTTGCTGGATATATAGTAGGGCTTTGATAAGTAACCGGTACGCAGGACAGAGAATTATTCGAGGATATAATTGGAGCTGCGGGGTTTATAGACGTGCTGGGCTGAACAGACTTGTTAGATCTAAGAGAAGGCGACGTTCCCTCCATTTCTCCCGTTCAGCCGGTGAGAAATCCCGCTGGAAAAAATGTTGGGTGGGCATCTCGCAGTGCTGGTTTCCTGTTCAGCATTAGTAGAGCTTGTTCCCGTATTTTCGACAATAATTTTTAAATGTCTATGATGGACCGACTCGCCCTTCAAATTCTTACTTGGTCCTATTCTGAAAGCTTTCAAGACGGTGGTGTTCTCGTTCTCATGTAATAGGGATTTGGTGTATTGCTTGAATTATTTTATATCGTGGTTTACTCTGTTCTTTGGGGTGTCTGAAGAAGACTCCGGCATACTCTTTCCGATGATGAATTCATTGCTAGCAATAGGCGCTGTCGTTTATTTTTATACGCACAGTCTGCATCACGAAAATATTTCTTCCCATCAATATCCAATCCAGAGACTGTTGTCCTGATATAGCTACCGTAGGTTTCCTCGTTTATCGAGGCTTCTTGGTCATGTGGTACCTCTTTTGGCAGTGAGGCATTTGCTGGCATTCTGTGTGGACTCTGCTTTCTCATGCTGACGCTCCGACCTACCTGGTCTTTTAGGGATGCTTTGAGACGACTCCTCGTTTTTGAAATGCCCTTCGGTTATTTTTCTCTCGCACATGAGACAGGTTCTCGGTCCTGATTAGGTTTGTAGACGGTCTGTCTTCATGTTTCACGGTTAATACAGTTACTGAAGTCGTATAAGCAGTTTTTCTTGTCATCTTCTGAATTTCCGACATCGCCATATTTCTCCTTTCGGTGAACGGTGAGGAAGTTTCATCAGCTTTTCCACCTCAATTCCTAAATTCCTTTATCCTTCTCCATTTGCAAGAGATAAGGACCACAAATTCACACCATCTGCAACTGCGACGGCATTGGCATTTAATATAGGAAATAGTACGTTCGCGCAGGAGTCCTTCACGTAAGTCGGTTAATTCACTGAGTCGTTTTTATGGATCCCACTGTATTTATATATTTTACTCAGCTGTCCCGTTTTAAAGGCTATTTTATGAAGAGTTTTGTAGATATCGCATAATTACTCTTTGATTCATTAACCATGCCGGTTCCTTCTTAACAACTTTTGAGTACATCCGAGTTACATTTTTCATCCTCCGATCGTGGTTTTAATTCTCAAACGTTTACCTTGTCATTCCGACGTTTCGCTGGAGAATAGTTCGCGTTCAGAGAAACCTTTGAAAGAGGGAAAGTGGAGTTGGCTCTTGATCTTGGTATATAGATATATAGTATTCAAAAAGCATCGTAACAATTTCTCATGATCACAAAAACGCCGTGGGGTACTGTATGTTATTTAAAGAACGTTGATACGTGTGGCTTTAGACATTCTTGGGAAAGTCTACGACAACGTCATATTCACTTAAAATACGGATGTCGTGATATGCAATGGACAAAATGAATGTTAAAAATGTACTTCCAGACGGCTAGGCCAGTAAAGTTTTTCGGCATAATTTTCACTCAGAAGGGTGATGTGCCACTATTTATTAGCATTGTCCTACAGTTGGGAAATGGCGATCTTTAAGTGGTTTTATGATGACGTGTTGCGTCTGCGAGAATCGCGTTTTGTAGACGTGTCTCAATGGCACATATAATAGCAGTTTATCGCCTTATTCGTGAGCAATCAATGAATTGCGCATGAAAGCTTTCGTACTAAATTTTTGGATTTAAATATTTCCACAACGGGTTGTAAAACTATAGGAAGTTCTACAATAAACAGTTGTGGAAACGAAGTCGATGCAGCTCATTGACACGTATTTAAATGAGTGCGAACTTACCTTATGCTCCTCTAAACACTATATATGATAAAAAACAATATGTACATCAAGCATAGGCGGAATTTCGTTTCAAAACAACTTAAATGATCATATAGCACAGAAAAATGCAATAATTGGGACTTCAAGTGAAGTACCCACTACCCCTAAAAATATACGACACGATTACCATTCCTGCTTCCGTCTATCTTCAGTTACTTGATTCAGTCTTCACAGAGGATGGCTAGGCACACCTTTTCAATTTGCATCCAGAAAATAATGATAAAAGGCCCTTTTTCTAACATTGTCTAAATTACTAATTCGTAGATATAAGTTTTCATTTATAGACCTTCTGAAGTAAACGCGAGCTTGCTTCTCAGGTATTTAATAAACAAAATAGTAGAAGAATAAACAGAAATACTACCGAAAAGTATGGTTGCTTGAGTCGTCGAAGGACATGACTTGCTGCATATGATTGACGATGACCGACAAAATTCCGTTATATACCGCCACCTACAGGCCAGTCCTGCTCGCCTTTTCTGTCATTATTTTTATTGAGGGTTTTTTCTCCTGTAAAATTAATCCAATCATTTTTAACTTTTTGTAAGGAGTTTTTTTTCACCCCTCAATCATCATGTTTCTCAATGGACTTCTAATTCAGAAACTATGAATTGCATTTTGTAAAGATTCGGCCTACCTCGTCTAAAACTCGCATGTTAATTTATTTCAACTTGCTTTGATAGGACCCCGACGGGTCTTTAATGAAAAATTATCTATCTATCTATCTATACCTGGAGAGATTACTGACCGTGTTGATTTTAGCATACGGCGAGGACTTTCACGTGCTAACGCCGGAAGACACACGTGGCCAGCTGTCGGATTTTGCGAAGAATGTGCATTTTTGAAGACTTCGATGCAGTTTTTGTGGCCATCTAGTGCTTTGCGCTACTGGACATGTAACCGCTTGCAACTAGTACGAGGCTAATCACGTACACTTAGTAAAACGCTCAATCGTTGGCGTATTTCGTGTACTTCAGCCAACTGAATGTGCTCCTGTTCGTCGATATGGTGACTCATTTCCCATTAGAGTTATATTATTGTCATAATTATGAGATACGAGAAGGTGGTTTTATCCGGCTTGTGTTCTTCATCCGTGTTGTGTCTTGTCCGGATTCAATATGAGTTATTTGGCTATTTATGCCAAAGTCCGTAACTAGCCTGCATCAGTCTGGTGAACTTCAAGCACTTTTCTACTTTTTATCCAAGTTTCTTTTTGTCGGTAATTCTATTTTTGTTTTTGTATGAACTTTAGCTTTCTGCAGCCATTTGCCATGCTCCCGGTAATACGTTGTATTCTTCCATTAACTACTTCTTCTTCTTCTGTGGTACTTCGCCTTACTAATTGCCTCAGCCCCTACCTCCTCGTTTCCATATTTCTGCCTGGTGCTCCTGTGCGTATTTTATATGTAACAACATTTCAGCTTATCGTAGACCTACTTCCTACTACATGAAGTCTTGCAGATGCTGCGGTGTCCTCATCCAAGAATGTTTTAGAGGGAGTTCAACTAGTACGGGATTATGCACAATAATACACACAGCACATAATTAATGTGGCCCTGCTTTCCAATCATCATTGTCATAATGTCCAACGGTCTGTGGGCTTTATTTACTGCTGCAAACTTATTGTACATTAATATGACAACAACTTTAAGGTTTAACGGCAAAGTATATCGTTTAATCTTTTACGTAACATACTTTGCTTAAACTGGCTACCGTACTCCCTACTAATTAATGTACATATATCTGCCGGTACAGATAACGCTTTAAATCGTTTGGTGTTCTATAAACATAAAGCCCTTCGCCTGTATGTAGTTAATGCATCTTTTTTGGGATTATGGCATATATCAGTTAAATGTGTTAAGGAAGAAGTTCAGATATGTACACCTGAAATCCTCCAAACAAACTGGACTCTCGATGTCAAGAACCTCGCCGTCTTTTGACCTTGACTCACAGGGACACATTACACTAGTCTACCCTAAATGGCTGTGGAGACGTCAGTGGAGGACCTTGAGTCTCAAAATGATGAAATGCAAGCTCTAGAAAGTATTTACTCACCGAACTTCACTGTTGTGAATTTAGAAGACAAGTTTGAAAGTCATCATTTACTCACAAACTTCCTAGAACATTTGAAATTTTGATCACATCGGGAAAGCCTAAGTTGCCTACTGTCACACTTCGTTTCACTTTTGGCCCCGGGTATCCATCATCGGCCTGTCCCACCTTTACGTAATTTTTTTCCTTACATATTGTCGAAGAATTACAGCTCCCGAACTATCACGTTCAGCTCATTCTGAGTTGACAAGCTCTCTTTGGGAATTGTGCTGCACGTCCGTGGGGTCGCCGGTGATCCATTGTATGGTCGAGGCTATCGAGCAGTTTCTAGACGGACTTCCATCCGAAGAACCAGAAGTGAACGTGTGCAAACCTGCTTTGCTAGATTCCGTCCCAGCCGAACCCACTTCCGACTTGTACTGCGTTCCAAGTGTGCGCGCCCACCTCTCGAGTGCTTCATTAGTCCCTGTACGGACGCACTGCCCAGAAATATATCATGGCGAGCCTATTACGGATCGAAAAAGTGTATTTCAAGTTAGTTAGATTTCGTCCGACTCCCCATCACCATGCGTGCACCGCTTGCGTGCTTCCACATTATATTAACATATTTGTAGGCTAGAAGTTCCTCATAAATCCTCGTGCCGATGTTGCCCACATTATAGTCAGTTAGGAACTCGGAGTTAAAAGACGAGATATCCCACTTTCTTAATGATCCCCTACATCCTAAAACATCTAAAGGTCTGATATTGCCTTCAATAAAACCATTTACTGGCCCTTTGTTTCTTACCCTCCTTCATTCGACTGCATCTGTATTCGTGAATTGTCAAGGCTGTGCAGCGCACTTTATTAGGTAGCATTAATCTGCCTTTACCGTATGAGGTACCTCAGTAGTTTTTTTCTTTGGCACTCTGCTTCGTTCAAGCATGTCGGATTTCGGTATACTGCAATGAATAGTATTATGGGTATATTGTACGGCAAACCGTAGGCTATGCACTTTGGTATCGCTCTTGGGTGCCAGTACGCAGGCCAATTGGCCGTTCCTTCTTAGCAGTCCGTGACCTCCCCAAAGGTTCAGTCCCAAACGGTACTGACTTTCGCTTTTAGTGCTGTATTCATACCGAACTGACGTTTGCAGGACTGGGCCGTCGTAGTGGAAGGCGGTCAGCCAACAGTGGGGGCCACTTGGATATTTTTAAATCCGTATACAATAGTTTAAAAGTCCAATTAGTGACGAGATACACCCCTGTCTACGGCTTTGTCTAGATCACAGTAAGTTTGGATTTGTGTATTATCTCACTTTATTATCCGCAGTGAAGTTCAAGTCAAATGGGTTTGGCAAGAACAGCAGGATTTATTGGCACCAAATCCTGCTGTTCTTGCCTACTTCAGCTTCGTACCGGGGACAAAATGCTTCAAATGGGTTTGGTGAATTTTAACTGCCAGAACAATCCTGAGCTCCCGTATTCTGAATAGACCTTCCACTGTGTGTTTTTTCTCAGTCTCATTACGAAGTGTACGCCCTATAATCACTATTTTTTACCTGATTCTTTCAGGCTCATTGCT